AAAAGAGTAAGTGGAATACAAAAAGGAATCAATTATAAATAAATGAAAAATGGCACTTTAAATGAAAGGTACAATGGATTGTGACAATTCCAGGGTGCAGTTCTAGACTGAACACAGGTCTAGGGGGAAATGAATTAATGAATTTGAAAAGAGTACTGAAAAATCCCCACATTGTACAGTGCAATACAGACAAAATTTTAAAAAGTCATAGTAGATGTGACTTCCTTTTACTTAATTCCATGTTAATCTACTAATTGTTCCAACCAAAAGACAATAGTAAATAGTTGAGGAAATCATTCTTCAAATAGGTAATTACAAAAAAATTTTTCCCAAATGAAGAAAAATATGAGTTTCAGAAATTAAAATTAATTCTTAGTATGAAGCAAGATAAATAGAATTAAATTCACACCCAGGTTCATTAATGGTAAAACTACAGAACATCAAAAGTAAACAGGCAATCTTTAAAATCAGAATAAAAAGGTGGACCACCTTCGAATTAATGCTATCTAGAGATCTCCCATCAACAGCATTAGATGCCAGAAATCAGTAAAGTACTTTCAAGATTCTGAGTGAAAATAATGTTTACCTTAGATCTCCAGAACCAAGAAATACAGGGAAAGAAAGATATTTTTAGACATGAGAAGAGTTTTGGTTTATACACTCTCATGGCAGGCACCTCTGAAACATACAGTTGATAAAGAACAGAATACCCGGTGAATCCACTCAGTGTAAGAAAGATCGGTTAGCTCAGAATTTGTTAGCTACAAAAAACCACAAAAATAAAATCATTTGGCATTAATCTAAAGCGCGTTGGATTTGCATGCAGAAAACTGTAAAAGCCTGATGAAAGACATTTTTAAAAAATATATAGGCAGAAATACCATGGTCATAGTCAATTATCCCCAAGTTGATATAAAGAATTATTGTTATTCTAATCAAAATATCAGCAAAAATTTTGTAGGCATAGCCAAGTGGATTCTAAAATTTATATGGATGTTCAGGGAACTAAAATAGTCAAAACCAGTGTGATGAAAGAATAAGATTAGAAGAATTATATGAGATAATTCAAGATAATCCAAGAATTATCCTACTTATCATTAAATGATACTAATCAAGCCTGTGGAATTAGTGAAGAAACAGTTACCTAAATCAATGGAACAGAGTGGAAATGATAGAGATTGAAAAAATTCATGCTCTATACAAATAAGGCCATTTTGCCTTTGACAGGGGTACGAAACAATTTTTAAAGAAACTGAAATTAATAGTCTTGATAGGAAGTCGTGTTGGAACAATTAATCCATATGCAAAATAAGAAACTTATGTGAACACTTCATTCAAAATGAACTCAAAATGGATCATAGATGGTAAAACTATTTTTTTAAATGGTGTTGGAACAATTGGAGTACATATGTGAAATAAAAATTAATGTACACCTCATTCAAAAATGAACTCCAAATGGATCATAGATGGTAAGACTATTTTTTAAAAAGGAAGGAAGTGGTTATTATAAAGCTTAAGATAATAGTTACACATATGGGAATTGAAGAATGTGTAAATGGAATAGAGTACCCAGAAGGGCTCTGGAATTTCTAGTGAAGTTCTCTTTCCATCATGACTTCAGCTATTATAGTATGTCCTCTGTTAGATATTGGTTCAAAAGTCACAGGTGGTGTTGGCCCAGGTGGGTGGATTGCTTGAGCTCAGGAGTTAGAGACCAACCTGAAGACCCCGTCTCTACTAAAAACAGAATAAATTAGCTGGGCATTGTGGCAGGCCCTTGTAGTGCTAGCTACTTGGGAGACTGAGGCAAGGGTCTGCTCAAGATCCAGTGTTTGAGGTTGATGTGAGCTATGATGACACCAAGGCACTCTGCCCAGAGTGACAGAGTGAGACTCTGCCTCAAAACAGAAAAAAAAAAAAAAAAAGAGTTTAGGCATATGTTCAGGGCTTATTCAATTATGATTTGTTTCTGTTATAAAACAAAATTAGATCTCTACCTAAAACAGAAAAAAAAAAAAAAAAAAAAACCACCTAAACAAACCAGAAAACAAAAGTCACAGGTGCCTTGGTCTCTATGTGTTTGTTAGAATATAAATAGTATATAAATGTTCCTTTTAATCCACATTTGCTGCAGTACTTCAGATTATCTTATTTATTAATTTTTACCAATTGAGTAGGTGCAAATGATATCTGATTTTGGACTTATTTTGGCTTTCCCCAGTTTATAACATGAACAAGAGTTTTTTGGGTATATGTGCTTCCTTTTCTTTTCTTTTTTTTTTTTTTTTTTTTTGAGACAGAGCCTCAAGCTATCCTTTTCAATGAAATGCTTATTCATGCGTTTAACCATTTTCCTACTTGGCTATTTAGCTTTTTCCAATTGATTTGTATGAATGTTTTTTAACATCCGATTACTTTTTTTATTTTGGGGTTTTTCTTTTATGATTCCATGTGTTGGAAGTATTTTATCCTAATGTAAATTTTGTCTTGATATTTTTAAATAATATCTTAAGGTTACCATTTCTCCACTTCAGAATTACTGACATTTTTGGCTGGAAAATTCTTGGTTATTGGGCAGAGGGGTGGTGCAGGGAGCATGGTAGAATGTTTAATAGTATCCTTGAACTCCACCCTCTTGATGCCAGCAGCCCACCCCTAACCCAGTAGTGACAACTAAAAATATCTCCAAGCATTGAAAATTTCCCCTTATGGCCAAAATTACTCCCACATGGGAGCATTAGATGGACAAAGGACATAATTTAAATATGGTCTGTTATATCAATCTTTTCTTTTATAGGTTAGCATTTTTAAAACCTTGTTTAAGAAATCTTTCCCTATCCTCAGAGGAAAAATATATTCTCATATACTTTAAATTTTTAAAACATTTTAAAATTATTGTCTTTGACTTCCAAAATTTTAATATATATGTAAAGGATTTTCATGTTTCAGGTGAGGTAAAAATCCCATTTTTTACATAGATGTGTACACATATATAATATATATATATACACACACATATATATACATATATATGTACATATATATATAAATTTTTGTATCAGTTTAAAAATCCTTCTATGCTGGCCATGATCTACAGTATCATTTATGCCATATACCAAATGCAGTGCTATTTACAGTTCTTCATTTTGTTCTAAGATTTATTTTTACACCACTGCTAGGATTTCTTCTTAATATTGTTTTATAATTTGTATCCCTTAGGGAAGGTTTTATCAAGTTATTTTCCATCTAAAGAACTCTTTTGGCTATCCTTTTGGTCTTCTAAATTTTAGAAGCATCTTACCAGATTCACAAAGAAAAACAGTCTGGCTTTTTTTTTTTTTTTTTTTGAGACAGGGTCTGCTTCTGTCTCCTGGGCTAGAGTATAGTGCTGTTATCATAGTTCAATGTGCCCTCAAATTCCTGGGATCAAGCAATTCTCCTGCCTCAGCCTCCTAAGTCATTGGGACTACAGGTGTGCACCACTATTCCCAGCTGATTTTTCTATTTTTTGTGGAGACAAGATCTTGCTCTTGCTCAGGCCAGTCTCAAACTCCACTTCGAGCAGTCCCTCAGCCTTGGCCTCCCAAAGTGCTAGGATTACTGGTGTGAGCCAATGCACCCAGCCTATTTTGGATTTTTGATTGAAATTATACTTCAGTTATTTCCATATGAATAATTATCACTTTTTATAATATCAAATCTTATATTCAGGGACAATTATTTTGGATGTCAGTGACTTCAAATGAAGATTTTAAACTTCTGCGTAAGGTCCTATAAATATTTTATCACATACATGTCTGGGTATTTTTTATTTGCTATTGTAAATGACATCTTTTTAAAAACTGTTTTCTGCTTATGTATTGTGGGTATGTAGAAATCAAATACATTGATAACCCTGTTATAATAAGTTTTCTTTATATCTAAATAATCATATATTTCTCCTTTATTTCTAATGCTTTTGCCTGTTTTCCATCCTTCTGTACTGACGACAATGTACAGTAGAGCCTTGAACTCGATCATGAAATTTCTTATCTTGTTCTGATTCTAAAGCAAATTCGTCTGTTTTTTCCCTGTTAAAAATGATGTTAGCAGGTGGCACCTGTGGCTCAAAGGAGTAGGATGCTGGCCCTATATGCTGGAGGTAGCAGGTTCAAACCCAGCCCAGGCCAAAAACCACAAAAAAAAAAAAAAAATGATGTTTGCCCCAGGGTTTTGGTAGATCATTGCCTTCTATTTACTTTTCTGTCATAGGTTTTAACAGTTGCTTAAAATATATGAAATATATGAAATGCATTTTTCCGCATCGATTGAGATGATTTTGTATTTTTCTCCTTAAATCTATTTGGACTATTACATTAATTGAGTCACTAATTTTACAAAAACACTTTATTATTCCTCAAAGTAATCCAATATTACCATGATTTTTTTGTACACCTCTGACAATTGCAGATGTCCAACATGACTTGAGTATTATGATTTTAGTACAGTTTTTTCCAGTCTTAAAGTATGTATACCTTTTTTGCCCCCCCCCCCGAAGTACGGGACTTGAATGGTGGATATTTGTTTAGGGTTAATGCATTTATTTTCTCTGCATTTCCTTTCTGGTAACATTTTTCTATTCTGATCAACTTCCTGATGCCTTGTATTTCTTCTGAGGATCATCACAATATAAAGGTTATAATTAGTCCTCCTCATGACACTCTTTTCCACTTGCTTTTTAACTGAACTGTCTCGGAGTGAATGTAGTGCACTCAGAATGTACTCGGACTCAGGATTGTCTTATTTTCTGAAGCACTCTCCTACAGAACTCTTCACCTCCATTTCCGCTTGTGTTGTAAAAAGAGCACTAGAGTGTGATTTGAGCTGTATCTGGAGTCATATGTGATCCTAATTTATTTAACCTTTCTTTCTGTCAATTACTATCTTTAACACTCTGGTGGATTCTCTGACCTTTTTCTTTTTAGCACTGTTTCATGCTCTATTCTTATCATTTACAACAGGCTAGTTTTGAATTGGTGGAGACGCCGAAAAACTCGGACCAACACTGAGAAACTATACACTCGATGGGAGCAGGATCATGACCTGGAATCTTTTGGCTCCCTGGGTCTATTCTACGAATATTTAGAAACAGGTAATTTTCAGCTACTATTCCAAAAGAGTCAGAACAGAGTCAGTGTGAATAAAAAGATAGAAAGAGTGGGGGAGGTAGCTCTGAATGATTCTTTCTGCCACGCACATATCAGGTGTTCAATACATCATTGAATGGTTGTTTAAAAAACAGATGGATGGATATGGAGATGATTGGGTCATTATTTCCCTGTCCCAGCCAACAGAATACAAAAATAAAGTTTTGTTTCACAAAGTCTTGGAGATAGTAGCCTATCAATTGAATGTTAGTATTGTTGAAGCAAATCAAGACTCGCTTTTTAACACCTGTCTCAAATTAACTTTAATAGTTATTTCTCCTTTTGTTTTCCTCAGTAACAGCTCAGAGAGAAAATTAGTTGGAAAACCTTTCCAGAGGGCGACATGCATTTAGTGTATGTTTTTATGTCAGTCTGAAAATAAGAAGGATACAAGGTATTATATAAAGAAGCCTAAGCTGAACTCAGGAAATGCCTGAGATAGTTCAAGGATTGAATAGAGAAGAAGCTTTAAGGACAAATTGTAGGAGAGATAGTGCTGGGGACTACTTAGGTAGCCTGTTCTGGTAGAGTTAAAGAGGACAGTTTTCCTAACTTGCTCTCAACGCTTGCAACACCACAGTGAAATAAATGAGATGACCTGAAACTGTTAGTGATTCGCCAGTGTAATAGATACATGTGATACGTGGATTGAAATGGGTAAATTTAGGATAAGTAGCAGTCTAATTGATATAGCTTTGGTTGTAAAGTTAGGTAGCCCTTGCTTTTGGAGTGATAAAACTATAATTTGTAATTGTGTAAATTTCAAATGAATTTGCACTTGCATGAATCAGAGATTACTACTGAAATTAAAACATGAAATTAAAGAATAGCAAGATTAATTGCTGTTAAGATATTGAGGCACAACTATATTAATTTAGTCTAGAAACGTTGCCTATTTTATCTCTAATTTTTAAACAATTCTTCAGAGTAGTCATTATTCGACATTTTATGTTAGAGGATTGTGAAATTTGGATAGTTGAGTAAAACTTCTATGGGCCACAAAGATTTTAGGCAGAGATTAGAGATTCAAACCTAGAAAATTTAAGTTGCTTCTACATAATACTTCCTGGTTTTCTTTTCTGTCTTTTTGTTGAGTAGAGAAGCAGGAAAGGAGGGAGTTAATATGTATTAACATATGTTCTTTTTTTTTTTTTTTGCAGTTTTTGGCCAGGGCCGCGTTTGAATCTGCCACCTCTGGTATATGAGTATATCCCTATTCCTTGAGCCACAGGCGCCGCCCAATATATGTTCATTTGATAACAAGACTGACTTAGTCTTATGAGAAAAGCTAAAATCCAGAAATATTGGAGATGTATTAAAAATAGAGGGCTAACAAAATATTCTTTCTTTTATCCTTTAAAGGAAAACCATTCCCATCTCTCTTTTTTCTTTCCTCCCTCCTGTGAGAAGCCCAGACTGTCAGTGGCACAGATTCTTTTACCTGATGTATTATTGGAAACAGAAGAACAAAAATGAGGAGAGAAGCCATTTTACACAGAAATAGTCTCTGTTCAATCTTCATAAGGAGGGTGGCGCCTGTGGCTCAAGGAGTAAGGCACAGGCCCCATATGCCGGAGGTGTGCAGGTTCAAACCCAACCCTGGCCAAAAACTGGAAAAAAAAAAATCTTCCTAAGGAGAGAGAATAAAATTTTTTTTTAAATATGTTAAGGTAGTATTGAGGACCAGGACCTTAACCAATATTTTATTCTAGAAAATGTATATATTGTTCCCCATATACAAAGTCTACACAATAAGCACACATACATATGCTGGATACTGGAATCATGTGTATGGTTTTATTCTCAGCCCTAATCATAAAAGGCACATAGATTACCACCACAGAAAAACTTGGTTACTCCACAAACAAGCCAATACACATGTAAAGACTAGATCAGCATAAAACAGAACTTAGCCATTAATAAAAGGCACAGAAGAATAGATTCGTGCTTGGATAAGCGTAGCTCAAAAGGAGGAACGAGGAAGAAATTCAGCTCTGCCTGCTTACATTCTCCGAATTCTAGCAAGCAGAGAAGTCAGTGAGCCTCCTCTGGGGAGGAGGACGTGGACAGGTGGAAAGGGGCCTGGAGGGTTTGACTGGTGGGGACTCCCTACAAGATAAAGGAAGTGGCAAGTGTTGTGCAGGGTGTTCCCCTCTTTCCCCTTCACAGCGAAGAGTTCATACCTTTTATTTCTTTTCTCTACAGTTACTCAATTTGGATTTGTTACACTATTCGTGGCCTCTTTTCCCTTGGCTCCTCTTTTTGCTCTCTTAAATAATATCGTAGGGATACGAGTGGATGCCTGGAAACTTACTACTCAGTACAGGAGAACTGTAGCTTCTAAAGCTCATAGCATAGGTATTTGGCAAGACATTCTTTTTGGAATGGCTGTCCTTTCAGTTGCAACTAATGTAAGTGGACCTATTTCACTGGAGTGACTTTGTATTTTACTACTTGGGGATGGGGAAATGGGAATAATGCTTAACCCAATCTTCGCGGACATGGATTGAATCAGAGGGAGATTTCATACACATAAAGCATTCCTAACCTTTTATACGCTTGCCCATATAGAGATACCTAGGACATGAAAACTATTAGAAATACAAGAAAAGACATGTAAAATTTCTGTCATTAAAATTTCATGACACACTTTCACAGCCCGTGACAAAGCGACTGAGTAGACAGAAAATAAGTGATGGAATCAAGTGTTTGAATAACACAATTAAAGTTGAATCACACTTGAATTTGTAATACTACAGAGAATAGTCAACATTTAACTATTATGTTTTATAAAGCACTTATTAAAACGTAAAAAAAAAAAACTAAATTCCCCAAAGTAGAAAATTTTCAGTGCATGTTTACCTATAAAAATGTTTCAAAAATTTAAGTTGATAATAAGATAATCAAAAAAGAAAATCTAACTACTTAAAATTAACACTTCTAAGTAAGGTTCACATAAGAGGAAACAATTGAAACTATAGAGAGGGCTCAATTTAAATACAAACCTATGAGCTAAAACCACTGTGAGAGGAAAGTCTATAGCAGCAGTTCTCAACCTGTGGGTCACGACCCACAGGAAATGTATTAAAGGGCCGCAGCATTAGGGAGGTTGAGAACCCCAGACTATAGCCATAAATGGTTTTACTATTTTTTAAAGAAATACTGGAAAACACTTAAGACATGAAGTTACATGTAAGAAAAAAACATAAATTTAGTAGAAATTATTTAAAAAACATAAAGATGCAATCAGAAACAATCAGATTGAAAAACCAATAAAAAGTAATATAATTGCTAAGTTAATTAAGAGTTGTCTTGTTAAAAAAGATAAATAAAACAAGTAAAACTTTGAGACTCCTATGTACCCATTTATTCCAATAAATTTTAGAATTTATTTGAAACAACTGCTTTTTTAATGAAATAAAAATTGTGTAGTTGATTTAATAAGTGATATCTGAACAATTAGCCATAGAAATAATATTAAGTGCTTTTTAAAATGTACCATTAAAAATGTAGATGCCAGAGCCAGACGTTTTTTAATTGAATTAACTAACCTGAAGAGGACAGGCTTGTACTATCCCAGGGCTCAGGAATGGATGGGAAAATACCACTCCCAGGGACTCAAATCTTGAAATTGGTTACACTGAATTGCAAGAAATTTACAAGTACACAGTCTTCTGTCTCTCTTACTTCTTTCCGTCAACTTCTTACACACACACTCCTAGCTTACGTGGTTGGCCCAGGAAGGGAATGCAACTGAGGGTACTATCCTATGAAATGAGGAACTATCCTATAAAACAATAAGAAAGTAAGAACTAACAAGGCTTATGGAAAGAGCACGGTTCCCAGAGACAGGTACATTTAAGTTCAATACTTAGCCACTCTGCAGCTATGAAATCTAGGAAGACTAATCACACACTAGAAATGATCTTTTTCACGTTTTAAGCCAAGTATTTGTATATTAATATAATCTATAATAGTTTTGAATCATTTTGCATTATATGGTTTATGAGACACAGATCTACAAATCAGACATTTTGAAAATGTGTTTGGCCATTCACGGTCTTCCTTCTGCTTTGTCTACAGGCTTTTATTGTTGCGTTTACATCAGACATTATTCCTCGTTTAGTTTACTACTATGCCTACTCAACAAATGCTGTACACCCCATGAGAGGATATGTGAATAACAGCCTGTCAGTGTTCCTGATAGCTGATTTTCCAAATCACACTGTACCTTCGGGAAAGCAAGACTTCGACACTTGCAGGTTTCCTTTTCATTATGTTTTAATTAAGTTATCCATCCCCTTCATGTCTTACAATGCAAAGGATTTACTTGAAACAACAAAAGTCTTGGATAAGTAAAGTACGTAAAATCTAGAACTCACACGTCTTGTGATTTTTATTTGGAAAGATAAAATGTCAAGAAGTAAGAGACTAGTATGGATAAAGATAACACCAATGTTGAATGATTCCTTATTTTCTAAATGTATCACAAGGATTGCTTGCCATCTAATGCCCCTTGGTCCAAAGTTGTAATATCTGTAGATCACACAGAACAACCATATTACATGTGCATTTAACTTACTCCAATGTAACTAGGTGTCCTCAGAAAAGAGATAAAGTGAGAAAGAGAGAAATAACAATATAATGATCTAATCAGTTCACCAGCCATGCCACTAAAAAGGTTTCTTCTATACAGGGAGGGTGAGATTGGACATGTGGATCTTCTGTTTCCACAGTCAGTATATCATGTACTATGAGGATCTTTTTATTATACAATTTAAACATACACAAACCTCCCCCCCCAACACACACCCAATAACACCTTAACTTATATCAACTGCTTCATTTGGATTCCAACAAAGAAATTGCAAAATATTGTAAGACAGGCAGATACAAACATTGTTACATTCCACGTTTGAATGTAGACAATCACAGCCTGCTGTTCAAGAGCATGGCCACTGGTGTGAGACATATTCCTTGACGTTACCCTTTCCCAGCTGGACTACATCTTTGCAGAACAACAATACCCAGTGACTTTGCAGAAAAGAATGAGATTACTAAGTTTGAGCACTGAGACAACTCCAGAAAGGTCATTAAGAAAAGCAAAGCAGAGCAGCCAAGAGCAAACAGGGTTTCAAGAAAACAGAAGTGATCAATAATACCAAGTCCTGTTCTGGAAATAATCAAAATGAGAATCCAAAGATTCCCTCCATGTAATTAAATTGGTTTTGATGGCGAGAGGGAAAGAACTAAGTAAGTTAACAAGGAGGGAAGATAAAAATGTAGACAACAAATAGTGGAAACTCTTTTGAAAAGTTTGTCTTGGCAGGAGAGAAGAGCCGCTTGTGTATCCCCTGTTAGATTTGTATGAACATAATTAGCACGTGGCCATAATTTTATGTGAGCAAGAATAATAGATGCTTCATGATATGAGTTATCTCCCCTATGACTTGACTTTTGTGGTGAACCAGAATGGTCTTTTAAGAGAAATAATAAGAATGTATGTCTCTAGTTGAAGCTATAGCTACTATTTTTGCATTTATTTTCATTTTGCAGGTATAGAGATTACAGACATCCTCCTGATAATGACAGGAAATACTTTCATAATATGCAATTCTGGCACGTCCTTGCTGCTAAGATGACCTTCATCATAATTATAGAAGTAAGCTGCTCTTGACTTTCTTGCAAATTACTCTGTTCTCCCTTCAGCTGAATATTTCTAAAGATATCTGCTCATCACAAAGTTAGCATTATCTCAATGAGTTTCTCTCGAAAGGATTATTTGTTGTCATAAAAAAACATCTGAGGACGTTCACAGTACAATAGTCTGCCCGTTATTCAGGGACTATTGTTGAAGATACCCTGGTAACAGAAAAGGGAAGGAAAAATATGATTTCTTCCCTTGAGGTCAAGAAAAGGGAACAGAACGCACTGATTTTACAGAATACCTATTATGTTCCTTCCAGAATTTAAGTCATAACAACCATGAGTTAGACTTTGTTGCTTACCTTTGAAAAAAGAGCCCTAGACTCTACAAAAAAAAAAAAAAAAATCAGTAGTTGGCTTACGGTTAATCAGCGAGCATTTGAGCTGAGTTTCAGTGCCAGATGTCTCGCTCCCCAGCCTGTCCTCTGCCCACCACTGTGTTACGCTTCCTCTGTTTGGGAGTATCTAGAAAATTACAGAGATGAGGCATGCAAGGACAGAAGGCGGCATGTGATTAAGTTTCAGACTCACTGCCATCGATCATAAATCAGGAAGGCCAATAAGGGAGAGAAATAAAAGTCAGGCACTTTTCCTTTCCCGCAGTAAAGTCCAACGATTGACACTTCTAACCAAAGAGCGTGCAAATCTAATCAGTTTCTATCAAATTTATTTTTATAAAGATTATGCATGTAATTTAAACAAACGGATAGTTCTACCTGGCAAAAAATGAGAGCATTCCTATGTAATATTCATCCCTATCTTTAAATCCTAATGTCCAAAGGCAATTATGTCAATTTTTTAAGCTCATTCTTCTAATAGTTAGCTCTGTGTGGCAAAACAACACATTTTTGCAGCTATCTCTTTCTAGTTTTAGATGTTAATCATAGACTTCCTAGAATGGCAGATCTCGTGCACATCACAGCACACACTGACACACACGTGCACGGGTGCACGGACACAGATAGAAACTTTATCTTTCTCCTACCTCTCCATAGAATGACAGCATAATTTTTTCTTTATACAGGTCCATAATTTCTTATTCTGAAAGCCCAAACCTCAGAAAGCTATGTATTTCGGCAACTTAATTAGCAGCAACACCTTATCTGACATGACTTAAGCCTATTTGTATACTGACCATTTATTTTGCTGCAGAGATGTTTAAGTGTTTGTTGCAAAGGGCCACCTCAGACCCCGCTGATGTGTGCTTTATTCAATAAATTATATATTTTTAAAATTGAGCTATCTCAACTCTAAAACATTTCTGTCCATGAGAGTTTAGAATAAGAGATTGTAGATAAGTACAATAGCATTTATAAATTAGGACTTTATAAATATTAGTCCTATCTGTTTCACGTACTATTTGCTGCATGTATTTCTTTATTATAATATTGTTTTTCTTCTTGGTTTCTTTCCCTCTCTCCCTCTTTCTCTCTCTTTTACTTCTTTAGGTATTTATCACTCTTTCATTCCATCAGAAGTTTAGGTCACCCTTCAGTCCAGTAAATTGCATCGGGAAATTTCTTTGTTTGAGTTTTTGTTTTTATTGATTATTCTTATCAATTTTTGGTAATCATCTCGGGTTCGAACCTAACATCATTCTGGATCTGTTCACTTCTCTCCCTCTGAGTGCAGTATGACCTGCAGTTGCATTTCTCCCCTTCTGGATTTAACAGGTTATTTTGGTGAAACCCATCCTGTAGTAATTTTCTGAGGAAAATTATGGGCAGTCAGTTTTTGAGAACTTGGATATTGGAAATTTATTTTCTTTTCTTACACATGATTATGTAGAATAGAATTTTTTTCCTGAAGTATTTTTAATCAACTTTATTTAGGTATTCTTGAAATTTTGAAGACATTGCTCCATTTTCTTTCCACTTCTGATGTTGTAAAATGCAATGACATTGTCCTTATCTGGTCTTTGTTTACAATCTACTTTTAGAAACTTACCTTATTGTTATAAGATTCTCTCACTATCTCCAATTTTATAAGATAGTTCCTTGCTATTGGACAATAGTCATTGTTTTTTTTTTTTTTTT